TTTCACTTTGGTACACGGTTCTGACAAGTTTATCTCCCAAAACTTCACAGGTGAGAGAAATAGGAGTTTTAGAAAGAGATAAAAGCTCCTTCAGGCTTTGAGGATTGTCTCATGACTTGCAGGTCATATGACAAAATCAACACAGAGTCTTCAGGAGGTATCTTTATGTGGTTACTAGGACTCGATACTTTTTGTTTTGATTGTCTGAAGGGGGCAAAGCTCTGAGCCTGCCATTTCCGGACTTTTAGGGTCAGATGGTAAATGAAAGGGAGAACATGTAATTGAATAGAAAGATTCCTCCAGATATACTAGGCACTTCCTATGTCTGTTTTTAAAAGCAAGACAGACATTGCAAAACGGCTTGGGCTTTGAAGACTGCCAGTTCACCTACAGTATTTTCAGACTCACCTATACCCCAACTCCACACCAAACAGCTGAAGACATGCAGTGCACAGTGGCATTCAAATGCCACACAATCCCAATCTCTTACTCAAAAGACAAGAGAAATGCAAATTCGATATTGTCCTAACTTCAACAACAACAAAAAAAAGTATCGAGACACCTCTCTGCCAACTTTTCCTACATAATACCACAACAAACAGCATTAACAGCTACAAGGAGGAATTAAGAATTAGTGGCTAACACCACTGCCCACCAAGAAGCTCAGTTCTGCTGAGCCATCTCTTAAAGTGGACTAGAACCAAAAGATAAGTCTTCTCATCTGCACACTCAATTAAAAAAGGAGACAAAAGTAATCAAAGGACTATGTGCAAATTAAATGCTATTACCTTTGTGTGAATAAATTCGTGACAATACACCCACTCGGTAAGGTACAACTTCACAGAGTTACCAATCTAGACATGTGGCCAGGTAACGAGATGAAGAAGGCTTTGTAACAGGGTGACACAGACCAAGTGGTGCTACCAGATTTTTTTCAACAATTATTCAGCCTTGATTCGAGGCAATATGATCAAGGTTTCTCTTGGGTTCTCCTTCCCTCTGCAGTCTTAAATCTCTTTTAATATTTACAGAAGAAAAAGAATGGGCAACTTTAAGGGAAAGCTCAATATGCATGAGATAACAAAATCCACATCTCTTACTTGTCTACATTGAAAAGTGTTTATTAAAAGTCTGGAACCACAAGAGGTTTTGCATTGACATTTCTACTCATTTATGATGAAATCCCCTCTTTTTTTCTTTTTCTTTGGTACAATAGGATAAGGTCAGATACAAAAAGCACAGAGAAAATGCCCATACTTTTTTCTATAACATTTGTTATAGATTCAGTCTAATTCTATTTCCTTGTCTATTTCCTTGCAAGCCTGAGGAAAATCAGGATTTCAAACTGACTTCTCATCAATTAGCATTCTTCAAATCAGAACACGGATGTTCTGTTTTACAGGAAAACATCAGAAGCATAAAGAATCTAATGAGGCATCTATAGTAAAAGAAGGTATGCTGCTTAATAATATCACTTCTGCTTTCTAAATAAAGATAGATGCTACAGTTAGAGCTGACTCATTCTAAAATACCAAGTCCTTTTTGACTTGGAGCAGATTAAGGGACATAATGGTGAAAACATGTATCTGTTCTCTCATCTACCCTCCAGACCTCTGCAACAATACAAGCACAGCTGTTAACCAGATGAAAACGTGAAGACTAGAGACAATGGAAGAATAAAGATACAACATTTTCATGGCACCACAACATTAGATAACATAAGAAATAAGATCTGCAGTACATTATATTATTATTTATTTTAAGATGGAAAGTCTTAACACCTAGGGAAAAGATAAATATTTTCTCTTGGAAAGAAAAAGAGGTTAAAGAGTAGTATGTCTTGCATATTTCAATCTTCCATGTAAAGACTGGTTTTGCTGAAACCATATGGAAATGAAAAGGTCATCAATTAAGAACAGAAATTTAATAAAGCCAAAATATTTTCCAAATAAACGTCTGTGGTAATTTAATTTCTTGTAAACACTGCACTCAACATTCTACAAGAGACCCAGATGGCATGTTCACATTTCTGATCTTTTATATAAAAAAAAAAATACAGAGAAAAGAGAGTCACATAACATACAAATTCACAATTCAGTCTCCTACAGAGAACAAGACTATGACTAGTCAGCATGTTTGACTTTCAGAGTTATTGAAGTTCAGTTAACAAAGAGCTTTAAGTAAAATCCCAACATCTAGAGTTCAAAAAGAAGCAAAGCAATACATTTTTAGTATGAAGTCAGCCTAGAAAATTTTTAGCAACTTCATTAATGCTTAATATATATGGGCCAGCAGGGAGGCAGGCAAACAGGCAGGCACTGGTATCCCTAAATGCAGCATGTATCTTCTACGTAGTCTAATACAATTAGAACGAATATTCCTTTTGATAGCTATATATAGCTACTTCACTTTCTTGTTACTACTAGAGTTATGCCTTCTAAATATCACGTTTTGATACACTGTTAACTAAGTACAACAAAACAAGAGAACCACAAGAACATGTCAATAAAACAAACAAGAACACTTTTTGCACACAGAAGGTAGATTTAAGAAAAATGTTTTCTGAAAATCGCCATCCCCATCACCACCACCCCAAAAGTGAAGGTTTTATAATAAAAATTACTTCCCTACCTGTTCTACAGTAATCAACCCATCTGAAGGTTCAGATGTAGCCTGTGAAGGCAAAAGTTTACACAGTGTCCCTAAGAGCAGAGATACTTCCTTCATACTTCTCCAGCAACATACCAGAACCATCTGAGCTGTGACATCACATGTTTGCCTTTCTTTACCTTAAAAACAAAAATCAACAAATGTAATAGTGTAGTGTAAATCAAGGTTCTCGGATGTAGACTTGTGATTTAAACTTCATTTAGCCTAATCCTCTTACAAAGCACAATTAACCACAAAAAACATTTCTAAACTCGCTAATCCAAAAGATAATTCAGTTTTGCTGATGCCAACTGCTTGCACTCATCAGGCAGCAGTACACCATCTCACCAGGAAATTGCTATTTCTAAGAGTAGAGGTCTATTGATCACAGCTTGTATTCACCTGCAGACTGAACTATACAAACACCTAAAATTTTGGAGCAAGGTTCCAAGAAACTCCATATCAATCATCAATCCACCACTCGACGGGTGTTACTTGTATTTTAACTCAGGTACTTCCATAGGAAGGGGCCTGGCAAAGGCATCACGTTTCTAACGCAACATCCCCATCTGGTGGCCATTGTGACACTTTAACATATTTACAAACTTCTTTTCATGAAACAAAACACATGGCCCAACTAAAACTATTTTAAACGGGGGGAAAAAAAAAACCAAAAACATGTAAGGAAAGAAAGTTCAAATATTTAAGACCTAAAAAGCTTGCATAAACTATTAAATTTAAAAGCATGCAGATATTCTCTAAATTTATTCTGGTACACACTAAATATGCCAAAGTTTACAATTTCTTTATTAGTCTAAGGCTCAATTTCATAGCTATTATTCATTAATGTAGACAAACACTAACATTTTACCACTGGAAGCTTTCAAACAGAAGCTTCTACTTATGTAATTTCATGCAATAAGTTTTACTGCATGCACTTATTACTCCCCCTAGCCTTGTGTACACCGGAAAGGAACACATCACACTGACACCTTTCAACAAGAAACATATTAAAAGCGTTGCATAACAGAAAAGGTGTTAAAGATTGCCTGGCCAGTGCAGTTAAGGCAATCGAGTCTAGGCCAGTATCAAAACAACTCATTTCCACTTATGTTCTAAGAGAGATTAACCACAATCTTCCAGAAACACAGTGAATTAGTTGTTAAAACCATGCCCATGAATAACTAGCTTTACTGAAGAACTGAAACACTGCATGGAGCAAGGAACTTCTAATTCTGATCACTCATATAACATGCCTGGTCTATAAAGAATATCTTGATTTAATTACTAACACAGCACTGGATTTACCTCTCATTTCTGTGCAAATATTTTCCATTGGCCTGTGGTCAGCTAGATTTTCAGATTCTACTTTGCAGTGTTCTTTCAACATTTTTGCTTGCAAAAAATAATCATTTGTGTCCTGTGGCTGTATCTCATGCAGAATCATCTGCAGACGACCGGCACTTTCTACAAATTAAACAAGAGACATATTTAAAACAGTTTTATTTTTTTACTTCTAGTTCTTTATACATATGTAATCCACTTTGGGCACGTAAGTACAAAAGAAGACTATTAGCACTGAAAAACAAATACAAAACTATGGTGATTACAAGCATTAAGGAAGAAAGAAAACTGAATTTCACATTCATCTATTTTCAAACAGATGCAACACCACAATCCACAGATGTGGGGTTTTTTTAGTGCAGCAGACAAGACAATCTATATCACAAGTTAAAAAGAGTGACTTAAGATTCTAACATAAAATAAGAAATTGAAAGGGAGGGCTGCTGGCTCTAGTTCTGAACAGCTGTAGGAAAACAGAACCTCAGGGGCTCCACACTTCAAGAGAATTCTTTTGACTTGCTGTTTGTTTGTTTACCTGAATCACTATCCATTGGAATAAGACCCTCTGGTGATGAGCTCTGCACTACTGGCGATACTACAGCAGAGAGTTTGTATGACATCAGAATGAGCCTGGCCACCATTTCCTTCCATTCAGCCACCAATGCCAAGTTACTTAAAAAAAAATCAAACAGCAAAGAACAACAAAATCACAGACAACCCAATACGGATTAAAACTAATTTTACATTTAAAAGAAACAACCAAAAATACAAACACATCTGCAACAGTATTTAGGAAAACTATAAATAGAATACAGTTTCAAAAGTTGTAAGACTGAGTTTAACACATAGAAGAGCTATTTAAACAGTGCAGCAGCCAGACAGCATTTTAAAAGCCACAGGTACTGGATTTTCTTACAAGTATTCTGTATGCTTTTATGTTCTCCTGAGCAGCTCTTACACAGTTCTTAAATATGGAATTTCATTTACTATTTAGCACTATGTTTTACTTACTCCAAAGGTAATTGCTGCAGAGCCCCAGTTATACAATGCACTCTCCCATACATTGGGAAGGATGCTGCTGCTTGAAGCAGAGACTTCTTAGCTTGAAGTATTTCTTCTTCGACATTCACCAACAAAAGTTTGATAACTAAAAGTTTAAAAAGTACAGATCTACATTATACATACATATACTGCATTTTCTAAGAAATAAATCTAAAAAAATAAGAATAAAGCCTGTTTACACAATAATTCAATGGAAAATGCACAGCAGTTTCCTTGTTGGTACTTTTTACTCTTTTGTCATTTAAGTAAGAGTTACTGTTGATTTTCAGCTACCTAAACTCCAGCAATACTTGTTATAGTCAATTTAGTCTGTTTATCTGAATCAAAGAGCAGCTGTGAAAAGTACAGCTCAGATTCTATACTCGGGAACAATCCTGCAGCTCATGATGAAGTCAAAAGTTACCTACCACATACTAAAAGTCACACTTCACCCTTAGAGCCATGTTAATAAAACAAACAGTTCAGCAGAATATTAAATATCAGAAGTTTACAGTTAAATATTTGAATCTTACATTAGCCACTACAGATCCTGCCCAATTTTCAAGTATACACATACCTTCTTTGCTGATACCATGTGGCATTTCAGTGTCAGAATCAGAATGAATTACAGACCCAAATAATGAAATACAGATAACTAACAAAGGGAGATACTCTATAACAATGAGACATGAGGTTACCCATGCATTTGTTTCATTTATTCCAAGTTCAACCATGTCTCAAAATCATATTTCACTGTACATGAAGAAAGTATTAATAGACATTGGTAAAGAAGCCAATAACGACACAAAAAATGAACTATAGTGAGTTTACTCCATTTTACATCCAATGCTTTATTGCAGATGAATTTAAAGATTTTAGTTTTATTTCAGTTTATAACAGGTGGAGGAGGCCTGTTAGACGAATTTGCCCAATCTACCAGAGCCTCTGAGCTTTCATGCAGAGGCCCTAATCCAAAGAAAAATACTCTACATGTGAACGAAGCCTAATTATTGCAGAAACGTAAGTGCAGTACTGCAAACAACTCGAAAAAATGCTTCTAAGTGAAGAGACCTCCACGGGGGAGCACTGCAAGTATCAAGTACTGGAACACGACACAGACTAACCACAGCTGCCTTTGCTCTGCGTGAGCGAGCTCTAAATAGGAAGCAGAGGCTTCTTTCTCACAGCTTCATGCAGGTAGCTACCAGGGCCCCCAATGTCACCTTCCCTCTGACCAAAATAGTAACAAAAGCCATCTTCTAAGAACATGATAGCTTCAAAATGAATAGGATTAGATTAAGATCTTACTAAGGCACCCAACTTCTTAACAGCAAAACAAAATATACTTAAAATCCTACTAGAAATAAGTACCTCTTACTCATCATGCCTCCTATGCCTCCTACCAAAGGAAAAGCAGGAATATTTCAAATACATAATAAAAAACATGGAGGTTCATTTCCCCAAAAGCTTACCTGCTAAAGTGTTCTTCTCTACCATGCTTACTGATGTGTTTTCATCCACCTGGGGATTACGCTTAACCCATTTTGCCAAACAAATATTCTGTAATTCTTTGTGATGTACTAAGAAGTTCAACAAATAGGAAGCAGTGACACAATCATATGGCTTGGTGCTTGTGCTAAGATCCATTGCTGCTTGGAACAGGAGCTCTAGGTTTTCAGAATCCTGAAAAAACCCACAATATTGCTCATTTTATTCCGCTTCCATATTGATTTAATTAAGCTACTTAGCACCCCGGAATCTAAGAACCTGCTTTTCAATAAGCTTGTTGGTACATATTTCTTAGAAAACCTTTATTTTGTACACTGATCACCTTAAGACTCAAAACATGCATATGTATGTATTTAGCAAAGATACAATTACGTACTCACTGAGAACGAGGACACTAATTTATAAAGCAGTATCCAAACATCACACTTCACAAGAAAAGGGGGTTGTTGGAAAAACAAATAAAAACTCCCCAAATACTGTGTTTTATCTGCTAACACACATCACAGAAGAGCACAGCTTATCGGGAAGCAGTATTTGTCCACCAGTACTTATGAATTTAAAAGTAGCTTTTAATGAAGTAATAAACAGGAAAATCAGTATCAAGTCGCAGGGCAAAATTTGGGAGAGCTCAAAGGTGACAATCAGATAATGTAATCTGACCCCAGTCAGAAAGAAAAAGAAACACAGAGCTTAATTTCCTAAAATACAAGAGTAACCGCGTTAAAACGCCTCATTTACAAAGAGAAGTCAGTGCCAAGGCAAGGAGCTTGTATTAACTAATTCTCCCAACAGTTCAGTCATACCCTGTGAACCTCCCAACTTCTTTCATCCGTTTGTGAAACCAACCTCCTTAGGGGTAAGGGCAGAAGCTGTGTGCAATGGGCACCACTGTAGGCAACGTGGACCAACAATTGCACTTTGTATCCAAGCCAAGTACCTAGTATAATACAGTTCATTAAATTACTTCCTTCAAATAACTTGCAATTACATACCTGTAAATTAAATGCAACATCACGTAGTTTCATCAAAAGCCCAAAGGCCAGAACTTTTACTTCCTCAAAAGTACTGGCAAGACACTGGATCAAAGTTTGGACACGAGTAGAGTTAATTTCCTGATCCAACTGAAAAACCTGTACCTGGCCTGTTCAGAGAAATCAATGGTTTACATAGTTTAGCTGTAATTCTTTCCAGAATAAGCACTGTATTCACATTTTGCCTTGCTATACTAAAAGAAGCATTAAAATAAAATTTTAGCTAAAGCACTATTTTATAAGTACTTTTTTCTCTTAATAGGTCTTAAATGTCATGTTTACCCTCAAAAAATAAGGTTACCATACTCAAAAAATGTCTGTCAGTAATACAGAAAGTAACACTTCCAAAACTGGAATCTCATTAATTCACATTAAATTCAGCATTGAAAATAATTTTTAAGCAAAGGTAAAATAGAGGTTCTTTTCCTGAAAGTATGCAATAACAGAAAATAATTAATCTCAGTGTGTTTTGGGGCTTGCCTTTGGGTTTTTTTTGTCACAGGATTAATCTCCTAAAATAGAAGCCATTACAATTTTTTGCTTTTAATTTAGATTTAAAGGAGTCGTGACTTTTGGCAACTGACCTAATGCAGTAAAGAAACCAGAAATTTTAACATGTAAACAAGTGCACCACATTCCAGCACAGAGCCCAACAGCTAAATCTCCTTTACAGAAGTAACATCAGGCTCCTGACACCCTAAAGCTGCTATTATAAACAACTTTCAATATAGCTTTCCATTTTAAAAAAGCAGCAACAACATACCACAAACTCATAATAATAAAAATGTGTTCGTGATTTATTAGGTGTTTTGTTAAATGATATACCAAGAGGGCATTTGTATTTCCCCTCAAAATCAACTTCTTTTTTTTTAAAAGTTACAATTTAAGACTGAAAACACTTTTATGTCAGCCATACGATCCACAAGATTTAGCAAGGTCATCAATACTTAAAGCCTCTAACTAATACCTCTTGAATTGGGTTGACATCACATTATGATGAAAGTTTAAAATATCAGCAGTACAACATTATAAACTGTCTAATTGAATTGTTCCTTATTTAGTATAATATCACTAGCATATACAGTCCTTTCCATCCACAAGTTTTTGTGGTCTCTATGTTTTAAGTTACCTATTATCAAGATGTTGGAACAAAAAAAGAATCTTCTTCAGTACCTCTTATTCCTACAGCCTATAAAGTAGGCTTCTCACCTTTTGGAACAGAAAATATTTCTGCTACTGATCCTAGAATACTTAGTGCAGAAAATCTGGTTGGGTGTGATGAACCAGGAAATAGCGCCTCAAAAAGTCTGTCACATACAGATGACAGGAAATCCTGAAAAACACAAGAAAAAATTTAAGACAACTTACTTGCTGATCTACAGACAAAAGTCTGAGTTAACTGAATTCATGATATTCTGCTTTATACGTTACCAAAAAAATTATGACCTCACAACTAATTTTGGAAGAATGGGAGGCTTAGCTTCCCAGTACTGACAGATTTCTTGTTTCACAGAATACAGTGAAGGTTGCACAATCCTTTAGTGGCCTTTTGGGGTTTTTTTTCCCTTCCCCACTCCCAAAACAATGGTCATTAAATCAAAACCTTGAAAAATGAACAAGAAAAGAAAGACTCCGAGAAAATGAATCTGTGAGTCTTCACATAGGAGAAAAGGACAAATACAAAAGCAGTCTTCATATGGAACTCTTCATGCTGCAGCTCTGTCATTCATTCTCTCACTAAGCATTCTATAGAGCTAGAAAAAGGCTGAAGCTCAGCACGTCTCAGCCCAAGTCACGTACATCATTTAAAACTTGTTACTAGACTGCCAGCAGCTGACAGGATGTTTATCTGAAAATTTTAGTTTGAACTGGGGGTACATCTCCAGTCATTCTCCACTTACTGTTGTCTCAGTTCACACTATAGAGCAATCCCTCAGAAAAAACCCCCAGACCTTTACTGCTTTCGGACAAAATAAACCTTTAAGATACCCTCCAAAAACTAACAGGCACTAAGTTCATAAGACAACGGTACATTTAGTCAAAATTAACTTGTGTAAGTGCCTACAGAGTGGACAAGGTCCGCAGCACTGTTCTGATTTACAGGTTTCTTCCTGCACTATTTTCTAACACAGTCAAACTTGCTCAGAGGTGTCCTCAAAAACAATGAACTATTTTTTAGAAATGCTATCCCACCTCTTGTATCTGTATCTCTAGCACTCTAACTTACTTTATATTGTTGCAAAATACCCAAAGGATGCCTTTTAGTTGAGGTTTCAAGTAACTCCTGCTTGGTTTTGTTTTGCTCCAATCTATAAAGCACCTGGGAACTTTCTTGTATCCTACAAAATAACTTTTAAAATAAAAACAATTAAGTAAGAGAAAGGGAAATTTTCAGTTTATTTTCAAGATCATATTGCTTGTCATTTTTAAAAAGTTTGCATACAGTGTAACAGAACAGATTCTTCTCTCTCCACTCCAAAACAAATGTTTTTTGCTCCCCACCTCGTTACCAACCTTTTCTCCCTCCCTCTGCACCTCCAACACCTTCTTCTATCTCCCTCCTTAAACTCACGCATAGTCTTCTCCTCCCACCTCCCTATTTTTTATGGATCCCATGTTCCTCTATGAAAAAAAAGAAGCGATCAACTAATGCATATAGTTTTTGTAGCCTCAGCATCTGTTACAAGTTTGACTCACCTCAGGGATGCTTCTCCCAGCTCTTTTATTACCCACTAGCATTATTTCCTTTTACATTACATTCCCTACA